CTAGCAGACTGGCATAGGACTTAGGTGGATGAGCCAGCGGGTCTCCCGGTTGGGGTCAGACGGAGAAGTCCTCTGGCCTCATTGGAAACACCAAAGCTGACCTTGGAGCTGGAGGCTCAGTCAGAAGGGGACCAGGGAGTTAGGTCCAGACTAAGTGGGTCATTGTTTTCCGTTCATTCACTGTTGTCCGTTCGTCTGCTCATTTTGTTGTTTGTTCCTCGATTACTCATGTCACCCGTGAGATTGTACGAGTCAGTTTGTTTTGCATCTAGGATTTCTTCTTTTCAGGAATGGAGCAAACCCTGACGACGCCGTTGTCTATCCTCGTGAGTCACTTTAGGATGTGAGGGCGAGGGCACACAACCTGTCCTTGGAGGTTACAAAGAGGAAGTTTTTCACTCTTTGTGAGGCAGAGTGGCCCATGTTTGGGGTGGTATGGCCCAAGGAGGGTTCCTTTGACACCTCCCTCATCAAAAAGGTAAAAGGGTGGTCTTTGGCCACCACGGCCATCCCGACCAAATTCCTTACATTGTGATCTGGCAGGATTTGGTCCAGGACCCACCACCTGGCTAAGGACACTCCTGCCTGCCCCTAAGGAAAAGGCTAAAATCTTGGTCACCAAGAGAGTGAAGAAGGGTGAGATACAGGACCCACGACCCACTAGGCCACCCTATGCTGGCACCACCTCTATGTTGCCATGCTCCAATCTGTACCCAGATTTAACAGACTTGGAGTGGAATCAGCCCCCACCCTATAATCCGGGGGCGGCCCCTGTGGCTTCCACGGCCCTGGGGGATGCAGAACTGGCGACAGGAGGACCGGCTTACTGGACTAGGCAGCGGACTGGACAGACTCCCCCTGAGAGCAGTGGGACCCCCTGAACCAGATGGGAAGCAGGCATACCACTACTGGCCCTTCTCCACTAGTGACCTCTACAATTGGAAATCCCAAAATGCAAATTTTTCTGAAAGTCTGAGAGATTAAATTAACCTTTTAGACTCTGTCCTCTTCACTCACCAGCCCACTTGGGATGACTGCCAACAGTTGCTTAAGGTATTTTTTACAACTGAAGAGAGAGAGAGGATCCAAGTGGAAGCACGAAAGCTGGTTCCAGGAGAGGACGGCAGACCCACCATGAACCCCCGGGTCATCAACCAGACCTTTCCCCTTGAATGGGCACCCTGGGATTACAATGAGGTTGAAGGTAGGGAGTGTCTCCAGGTCTACCACCAGACTCTGATGGCCAGTCTCTGGGCAACAGCACGGAAACCAACCAGTTTTGCCAAGGTAGGTGATGTTCATCAGGGGCCAGAGGAGAGCCCATCCACATATCTAGAGAGGATCATGGAGGCTTTTCAGCAGTATACTTTCATAGATCCTACTGCAGAAGGGAGCAAGGCAGCTACTATGATGGCCTTTGTTAACCAGGCAGCCCCAGACATCAGGTGTAAGGTGCAGAAGATAGATAGGTTATGTGACAAAACTCTGCAAGACTTCCTGGAAGTGGCAAAGAAAGTTTACAACAATAGAGAGATGCCTGAGGAAAAGTTAGAAAGGAAGAGGCTAGAGGAATGGAAGTTCCAGGCAGGTGAGGCATGTAAAACAAATAGAGAGATGGCCAAGATCCTACTCGCAGCTACGGGAGGAGGTCAGCTAGGGGAAAGAGGCCGAGAGTGACCCCGGAGGGAGAGGCTAGGCAAGGATCAGTGTGCCATTTGCAAGGACCATGGAAACTGGGCTAGGGACTGCCCCCAAAAGAAGGGGGGACATAGAGCTTGATCCTCTTAGAAAGTTATGTTGCTGGGGCAAGTTAAGGATGAATCGGGGGACGGGGTTTGGTTCCCCTCTCCGAGCTCAGGGTAACTTTATAAGTGGACAGGAGTCCAGTCAGCTTCCTGGTAGACATGGGGACAGAACATTCGGTGATTACTGAGACCACTGGAAAACTATCTAACAAGACTAGCTGGGTGCAGTGGGCAACTGGAACCAAGCCCTACCCTTGGACTACCCTATGAAAGTTGGACTTAAGCTCAGGGGAAGTGAGTCATGCTTTCAAGGTCATTACAGAGTGCCCCACCCCATTATTGGGGAGAGACATACTCACAGAATTAAAGGTCCATATTTACTTTGAAGAAAAAGGAATAGTAATAACTGACGATAAAGGCAACCTTATTAGCCTTATTGAGTGACCCGGGTCACTCGAATGTTGACCTTGGCACAGGCAGATGAGTATAGACTGTACCTGGCCGTGAGGGGCCAAGAAAAGGACATGGAGCACTAGCTCCATGAATTTCCCAAAGCCTGGGCCGAAGCAGGGTGCAGGGTGGGCAAAGCATCGGCCACCTCTCTATATTGAGTTAAAACCAAGGGCTGAGCCAGCTCGAGTTAGGCTATACCCCATGCCCCAGGAGGCCAGAGTGGGAATAGCGCCCCACATTCAAAGGGGCTGTACCGGGATTCGCCGAAGGTGCCAGTCAGCCTGGAATACTCCTTTGTTACCAGTAAAGAAATCGATGGAAAGGATTATCGGCCTGTGCAGGACCTCAGGGAGGTCAATGCACGTGCCCTAGACATCCCCTCTACGGTTCCAAACCCCTACACCCTACTAAGCTCCCTTCCTCCAATGCGGATTTGGTACACTGTCCTAGATTTAAAGGATACCTTTTTCAGCCTAGCCGTGGCCCGGTGCAGCCAAAAAATATTTGCCTTTGAGTGGCAGGATGAGGAGAAGGGAATCCAGGGACAGTTGACATGGACAAGGCTGTCCCAGGGGTTCAATAACTCACCCACTTTGTTCAAGGAGGCCCTCCATGACAACTTGGGTGAGTACTGTGCCAACTACCCAGAGGTGACCCTGCTGCAGTATGTGGATGATTTGCAACTAGCTGCACTAAACCCTCAGACCTGCCTGGAGGGCACCAAAGACCTACTCGAGGCACTGGGTGAAATGGGATATCGAGCTAGTGCTAAAATGGCCCGAATTTGCAAAGATGAAGTTACCTATCTGGGCTATAAGATCAAGGGAGGCCAAAGGTGGCTAACCGAGGCAATGAAACAGACTGTGCTAGGGATACCCACCCCGACCTCATGTTGGAAAGTGCAGGAGTTCCTGGGGTCAGTGGGGTACTGCCGCCTCTGGATTCCGGGGTTCTCAGAGAAGGCTCAGCCCTTGTATGAAGGGTGCAAGGCAGGGCAAGCGTGGAAATAGACAGTGCAAATGGAGGGTGACTTTCGAGCCTTGAGAACAGCTATGTTAGAGGCCCCAGCCCTGGTGCTCTCTGACCCCACAAAAGAGTTCCACCTGTTTATAGATGAGAAGAAGGGACTAGCCTAGGGACTGCTCATGCAGGCAATAGGACCTTGGAGGCAGCCAGTGGCGTACCTGTCAAAAAAGCTAGATCCCATAGCGCCGGAAGGCCTGCTTGCCTGCGAATCATCTCAGCTACTGCCTGACTGGTCAAAGACGCCGATAAGCTCACCCTGGGTCAGCATTTGCAGATTACCACGCCTCACGCCATAGAGGGGATCCTGAAGCAGCCGCCAGGACAATGGATTACAAACTCGAGGCTGACTCACTACCAGGGGCTTCTGTTGGACACTCCTCGCATTGAGTTCCAGACTCCTGCCATCCTGAACCCAGCCATGCTCCTGCCGGATCCCAAGGCCAAAACGCCGGACTATAGCTGCCTCGAAATCCTAGCTGAGACCCAGATGGCCCGGAAAGACCTAAAAGACCACCCTCTTCCAAACAGCAACCTGACCTGGTTCACCGACGGGAGCAGCTTCGTCCGGGACGGACACAGGTAAGCGGCGGCGGCCATAGTAGATGAGCAAGGCAATCTTATCTGGGCAACACGCCTTCCACAGGGGACATCAGCCCAGAAGGCGGAACTGGTAGCATTGACAGAAGCCCTCCGCTGGGCCCAAGGAAAGAGGCTGACAGTATACACCGACAGTCGCTATGCCTTCGGGACAGTACACATACATGGGGCCCTCTATAGAGAGAGAGGTTTCATCACAGTGGAGGGCAGAAAAATCAAGCATAAGCCTAAAATATTTCAGCTGCTAAAAGCCATTTTGTTGCCAAAAGCAGGGGCGGTAGTCCACATTCCGGGACACCAGAAGGGGGACTCTCTAAAAGCCCAGGGCAACCAGGCTGCAGCCGCTGAGGCAAAAAGGGCTGGGGGGGACTGGCACTAGCAGATGTTCTACATTTGTGCTTGCCGCCTCCTGGGATGGGAAAGATGCCCCCCTCCCCCAACTAGATTATTCCAGCACAGACATGAACTAGGCCAAAGAAAAACTGCTGGTTACAGAGTAAGGACGACTGTTCCAAGATGGACAGCACTGTCTAGTAGTCCATGAAGCCCTGGGGAACCACCTACTAGGACACTTCCACCAGACAACACATCTCAGGGAAAAAAATAGATGCTACAGCAGCTGGACACTGCACAACTCAGATTCAAATCACAAAAAAAGATAGCAGAAGACACTGTCCGGAACTGCCGTGTCTGCCAGGTCATGCAGCTGGGGAGGATCAGAGGGACCCATGCAGGTACCAGGGAGTGGAGGAGGCAACCAGGATTATTTGGAAAATAGACTTCACAGAGGTAAGACCCCCAAAATATGGGTACAGGTATTTGTTGGTCATGGTAGACACTTTCTCAGGGTGGGTAAAAGCTTTTCCTACTAAAGGAGAGACTGCCTTAATAGTAGCAAAAAAAAATTGGAAACAATAGTTCCCAGATACAGGCTGCCGGAGAGCATAGGGTCTGACAATGGGCCAGCCTTCACAAGTCAGGTCAGTCAAGGGCTGGCCCCGGCACTGGGGGCGGATTGAAAGTTACATTGTACATATAATCCCCAGAGCTCAGGGCAGGTAAAAAAAAAAAAAAATGAACAGAACCTTAAAAGCAACCTTAACTAAATTGGTTCTAGAGACTGGCTGGGCCTGGGTGACCCTCCTTCCCTTTGCCCTGTTGCAAGCCCAGAACACCCCTTACCATCTGAGCTTAACCCCCTTTGACATTATGTATGGGACCCCTCCACCTGTAATCCCCAGGATGAGCTCTGAGGCTCTTCCGGAGCACCCTAGAGAGGTACTGCAGGCTGTACAAGCTCTGCAACGTGTCCACAGCCAAGTATGGCCGGCCCTCCAGGCCATCTACCAGACAACTGGGCCAAGGAGCGAAAGTAATAAACAGCCTCATCACAATCATCAGCCAGGGGATTGGGTGTGGGTAAAATGGCCTAACAGTAAAACCCTAGACCCTAAATAAAAAAGACCCTTTCAAATAATTCCTGTTACCCCCGCTGCACTCACGGTTGACAGAGTGGCAACTTAGATACACCACTCCCATGTGAGACCCGCCAGTGAGGACGACCAGGAGTGGCAACAGGACAAGTGGAAGGCAACAGCAGTCCTGAGAAACCCGTTAAAGTCCAGACTGACCCGAGTGACAGCCGCAGACAAGCCAGAGCTCTGCTGGGGAAAGGGGTTAGATGGGACTGCTGACTCAAATCCTCTTCGGACTGCTGGCCATCCTTTGGGGACTTGGACTCGGGGTTGTGGCTCCCAAGGACTGGACTAAACTGCAAATATGTGCCCTGGTAAGCTTTTACGGTTGCTACATAGGCTGTTTATGGGCATCTTGCTCCTGGAAAGGGTCTCTATAGCTATAGCCACTGACTCAAATCCCCACATGCCCTATAATCTTACGTGGAAAATAACTAACTTAGAGACCCACGAGGTCTATAATCAGACCTCTAAAACAGCTCCACCAGGCACGTGGTGGCCAGATATGTATTTTAACCTAGAAAAAGTGGATGAGTTTGTCCACCTTGGTCTCAGGTCACCCACATGGCTCATTTTCAAGATTAAAATAACCAGAATGGCACTTTTTAAACCATCAATGTACTGCGTTCATTAGCCACATCCTTCCCAAACATTTTGTTGATATGATATTTAGAGCTGTCTGTGCTGTGTTGGTTCCACGATGGAACTCATATTCAAAAATAACATGAATGTTTGACTTATCCATGGTTAAACAAAAATTGCTCTAAAACTTTTTTTTGAAAGAGAATCACAAGCTAAACAGGTGTTTGAAAGAATGAGGATGTATCTTTACAATAAAAAAAGAAGTGTGAAAGTGTCAAGGTGAAATGTCAGAGATAGCAACTGTCAAACTTTGTACTTAAGGACATTAGACATTCCATACTTAATAACCTAATGTACTATATTTTCTTTATTTATTCATCCTTTGGTGGCCACTTCAGTTGTTTCCCCATCTTGGCTGTTGTGAATAATGCTGACATTGTACTGGCTTTTAAAAAAGTGCCATTCTCTTGATTTTTCTTTGTTTGCAAAGTTAATAAACCATTAAGTCAGCAGTAGCACGTAGGAAATTGCTAGTAATGATGGCTGTCATTTCTGTTTTCCTCTTTGACTTCCACCACAGTTAACTAAAACCTGCCATGGAAAATGTGGAGAAAAACCTTACCAAGACCCTCACTAGAAAGGCGACGGAGCCTATTTACTTCTGGTCTCACTACTGAGGGGTTCAAACAATTTAAACTTCTCCACAGCAAACCAGTTTGTGCAAGCCCGCACGCTCGCGTCGCCTGTGGAAGTCGCCCGGCCGCTAGAGGCCGCCCTCACTTGTGGCCGCCAGGGCAGCGCCCCAACCCGCGGGAGGGCCACCGCGCGCCTGCGCAGTCACCAACCGCCCTCAGCCTGGGCTGCGCCCTCTGCCGGTAGCCGAGCATGTTCCTCGTCCTCGCTCTGCTCGCCGGGATCGCTCTGCCGCAGCTCCGCCCCGGTCAGTCCGCCGCAGCCTCCTGCTTCTGAGCCCGGGGCTCTTCCTGGGGAACAGTTCCCTGTCGCTCTGAGACCTCACCCCTCTCTCCGTCTGGCGCCTCCCGCCACCGCGTCGCCCTCCCAAGACCAGGGTGTCGCCAGCTGAGGCCGCCCCTCAGGGCGCGCAGGGGATGGGATGGAGGGGGGTGCGGGTGGGGGTGGGGGGTACACCGCCTCAGTTTCTCCTCAGAGTCCTGAGGAGAGCAAGCCTGGGTGATTCTGAAAAGGACCCGGATAAGCCCTGTAGACCTGAAATGTCTAATTTTTTTTGTTTGTTTGTGTCTTGGCCATTTTTCAATGTGCCATTGATAGTATGGTGAAACCTGGGAACAAGAAGGAGTGTGTGGACACATACGAGAAATTAAAAGTTTAGACCCTGCTATGGGATCCAGGATAAGAACCCGTTCTTGGCTGAGAGGATTGTTGATACAAAAAACATAAAAACCAGAAACATTTTCTTGCTGCAGATTATGAAGGAATATTCCTGCATGTTACAGTTCCACAGAAGATAATGTCAAATGAAAGTGAAGCTTCAGAGAGAAAGGTAAATGATCAAGAATATTTGTTTTATATGTAAAATTTTAAGGCTATTTTTATTTAATAAGTCAGATCATATTAATATGTATTCACTTGCAGTGCACAGTATTTTAACTTTGTTTTTTTCTTAGTGTATTTTGGTCCTCCCATTCCCCATCTCTACTGTTTATTTCCTTTTGCCCTTCCCTCATCTCTTCCCATATTACATGTTCACAATTTTCAAGAAATACTGAACATCTTTCAGCAATTATACTAGCAAGGAAAAAAGTCAGTATGAAATATGTATGACAATAGTCCAGCTAGAAATTTTTAGAAATTGTTAGTGGCCACTAAATGACAGAGATTGGTATTGAACAAAATTTAGAAATGTAAAATTTGACCCACAAGCAAGAATTAGTAGCACTAACAGCCAAAGAAAGAAAGAAGGAAAATAAAAAACAAAAATGTCACATTTGCCAAATTACGATGAAAAAAATATATCATTAATAAATACTAACTGGAAAAAGAAGTAGAAAAATGCTTATCTACCATATAACAAGTGATTTAATTGAAGGCATTGGGTCTTGAATATTATCCTGATTAAAATACTTCAAATTAACATAGTTAAAATGTTTTATATTACTATTTGAAGTCACAGTACAGAGGTTTATATTGCTGTGTGTTTAAAATGATAGGTCTAATATGGTTAACTCTGTGAAATTTTTTTCAGGTTGAAATAGCAATTTTAGAGATAAGAGTAAAGGAAAACATTAAAATCCATTAATTCTGTTTTGGCATATAATATTGGAACCTCTTATGTTTATGATCTACTATAGAACAATTCTATTACTAACAATGTTCTCCTACTGGAAAATTATGATATATAAAATATATACGAACGTGTATTTGGGAATTGCAAAAAAGTAAATCATTTTCTTCAGACAAATTGGAAAGTATCTCTAATCTCATTTAATCTTCATATTAACCTTCTGAAGTAAGATATATATATATATAGGTAGATAGATATATGAAACTTTTTTTTTAAGAAAGAAGATTGAAAAGTGTTAAGGGCATCAGATCTACAAATGTCAGGATATAGAGTCTAATATTTAATTTGTAACTCTAATTCCACTATAGTAAGCTGCCTTGTGTTGAGAAATACTTTGCATAAGAGTTATTTTCTTCTATTTTTTTATTCTGATTTACTACTGTTGCTCATTGTCATTGCATGATCACTTTAAACTTCAAATTGCTGACTGCTGGTCAAAAAGCAGGTAACAAACAACTTTGTAGGACATTAAATAGTTTTACTATGGAAGACATGAAATGTTCAGCATTTGCCTACATTTTTGGTATTCTTTAATATGGAATTCTTGAAGCCATTTTATTCTTTTTTATATTTTAAAACTTTATTGATATAAAAATTGCACATATCTGATGTGTTTTGATGAGTTTGGGCATATGCATATGCCCTTGATATCATTACCATAATCAATGTATGAAACATATCTGTCACTATGTGTGCATTTCACTATGCATTTCTGTTTTGTATTTTGTTTGTTTTATTTTTTATGTATGATAAGAGCACTGAACATGATAATTATCCTCTTAATATATTTTAAAGTGCATAATACCATATTGTTACCTATTGGTATTATGTTGTACAACATATATGTAGAACTCATTCATCTTGTGTAACTGAAACTTTATACCGATTCAGCAACAATTCCCCATTTCTCCCTCTCCAGCCCCTGGATACAACCATTCTATTCTGTTTCTAAGAGTTTGACTATTTTAGATACCTCATATAACTGGAGTCGTATGTTATTTGTTACACTGTAACTGGCTCATTTTACATAGCATAACAGTACTCCAGATTTATTCATGTTGTTGCAAATAGCAGGATTTCCCTCTAGCTATAACTTCCAGTACAATATTGAATAAAAACTTTGAGAGCAGAAATTTCTTTCTTGTTTTAGATTGTAGAGAGGACACTTTCAGTCATTCATTAATAAGTATGATGTTAGATATAGATTTTGTTCAATTTGTTTCTTTTAAAAAGTTTGAGGACGTTTTCGTCATTGATAGTTGCTAATAAAAATGTTTAAATTTGTAAATGGTTCTTTAATCATTATTAAAGGAAGGTTTGTAAATTTTCTTTTAATTGCTGTTCTTTTGTTCCTATAAGCCACAAAGTTTTATAGGTTATGGCTTTGCCATTGCTTATTTAAATTTTTTCTAGTTTTTTAAATTACTTCTTTGACTTATAGGATATTTAGATGTGAGTTATTTAATTTCTAAAAATTTGAGAGGTTATCCAAATATTTCTGATATTGATTTATAACTTAATTTCATTTGATCCAGATAACTTGCTTTCTGTGACTTAAATATTGTTAAGGTATTGAAGCTTGGCAGAAAATAAGGTGTATCTTAGTCATCATTCCCTGTGGATTTGAAAAATATGTGTATTTCATTTTGGTGGATTGTGTGTTCTACAAATGTAAATTAGTTCAAATTGATTGATAGTATTGTTTAATCTTCTATGTTTTTGCAAATTTTGTATTACTCACTCTGTTTCAGATTAAGTGCTTTGTTTGAGAAACAGTTTTGACTTGCTGCTAATGAGCCTTAATAAGACAGAATGCTTAATCAAGCCACCAAGGTACCAGAGACTTGAGCTGCCCATCATGAACTTGATATTATCTGACCTATAAAGCTTAAAGTTGGACATGCAGAGCAGGACTTCATTATCAAATGGAAGGGATACTTATCTGACTGGGCTTGGCTATGCCTGAAGGCACAATTAAGTCACATGAAGAAATAGCTCAAATGCCCTTGGTCTCAATTCCTGCTACATTATCTTCTGTCTTCCAGCCTGTGCAGCAGGGGCCAAGTGGTGATGTTTTATTGAGAGTAAAGTGTTGAAATCTCCATTTATAAGTAATACTTGTCTCTTCCACATTTCAGTTCTTCATGCATTTTACAGCTTAATACACACTTAGATTTATGTTGTCTTCTTGGTGAATTGACACTTTTATCATTCTGAAATGTCTCTCCTTTTCCCTACTATTAGGTTTTATTATCCTGCAATGTACTTTTCCAGTTTTTAATGTACACATCCAGTTTACTTATGATTAGCATTTCAGTGATGTATTATTTCTCTCTTATCTCTTAATCCATGTCTTTTGAGAACAATACATAACTGCATCTTGTTTTTTTATGCAATCTTAAATAATCTATATTTTTAAAAAATGTAATGTTTAAAAATATACATAATATAAAATTCACCACCTTAACTATTTGAAGGGTACAATTTAGTAGGTTTAATTATATTCACCTTGTTGTGTAACACATCTATACAATTTTTTCATATTTAAAACTGAATATGTATACCAATTAAACACTAATTTCCTTTCTGGCCTTCCCACAGCCTGCCCTTTCACCCATCATTCTACTTTCTGTTTGTATGATTTTGACTAATTTATAAATATTTTATATGAGTTAAACCATGCATTATTATTTCTTTTGTGACTGGCTCACTTCAATCAGCATAATGTCCTCAAGGTTCAACCATGTTTTAGCATGAGATAGGTTTTCTGTTTTTTTTTAAAGATTACATAATATTTCATTTTATAGTCTACATTTTATTCATCTATTCATCTGTTGGCAGACATTTGGGTTGCTTCTACCTCTTAGCTGCAGTGAATAATGATGCAAAGAACATGAGTATGCAAATATCTTTGAGATACTGCTTTTAATTCTTTTGGGTACATACCCAGAAGTGAGATTTCTGAATCATATAATTGTATTTTAAATTTTTTGATGAATCTCTCTAATATTTTTTATAATGGCTGCATAATTTTGCCTTCTCACCAACAGTGTACAAAAGTTACAGTTTCTCCAAGTACACACCAGCACTTGCTATTTTCTCTTCTTTGTATAGAAGCCATCCTTAAGTGCGTAAGGTTTTGATTTGCACTTCTCTTACGATTAGTGATGTTGAGTTTCTTTTTATATGCTGGTTAGCCATTTGTGTACCTTCTTTGGAGATTTGTCTGCTCAAGTCCTTTGCCCATTTTTAATTGGATTTTTTGGGTGTTTTTGTTATTGCTGCCATTGAGTTGTAGGAGTTCCTTATATATTCTAGAACTAACCCTTTGTGAGATATATGATTTCCAAATATTTTCTCCCATTTACAGGTTGCCTTTCCAGTTTGTTGATTATTTCCTTTTATCTACAGAAGTTTTTACATTTGATGTTGTCTAGTTTATTTTTTTCTCTGTTCCCTGTACTTTAGTTGATATATCCAAGAAATTATTGCCAAATCCAATGTTCTGAAGCTTTTCTCTAGAGTTTTTTCTAGGACTTTTACAGCGTTATATATTGTATTTATATCTTTAATCCATTGTGAGTTGATTTTTGCACTTGGTGTAAGGTAAATGTCTGATTTCATTCTTTTGTTTGGATATCCAGATTTCCCAGCACCATTTGTTGAAGACACTGTCCTTTTCTCATTATGGTATCTTGGAGCCCTTGTCAAAGACAATTTGACCATATACACAAGGGTTTATTTCTGGGCTCTCCAGTCTGTTCCATTGGTTGAAATATCTGTCATTATGGCAGAATGACACTCTTTGGATCACTGTTACTTTGTATTATGTTTTGATATGAGGAAGTATGAGGCCCATACATTTATTCTTTATTTTCCAGATTGTTAAAGCCTTTTGGGGTTCCTTTACATTGCATATGAATTTTAGGATGGTTTCATCTATTTCTAAAAATTGAAGCTTTGATCAGGATTGCATTGAATCTGTATATCACTAAGGACATAAGGGACATTTTAATAATATTGAGTTTTTCAATCCACGAACACAGGATTCCTTTGCTTCTAATTTGTGTTTATGGTCAAATTATCTTTGACAAGGGCTCCAAGATACCATAATGAGAAAAGGATAGTGTCTTCAACAAATGGTGCTGGGAAATCTGGATATCCAAACAAAAGAACGAAATCGAACATTTATATTACAC